TGTGGAGAAAAAACAGTGGGGGGGGGGGGGGATCAACAATGTGAAGAAAATGTTTTGGACTCTTGGTTGAACTGACCTTGAAGTCGGATCCAGGTTTCGTCTGTAGAGTAGAGCTGACTTTGAGGCAGACGGCCTGGATCTTGCGGAACAGGCCTGGAGAGGAGCCGTGCTGCACCACCCCCTCCACCTTTAAAGTCAGCTGCTGGTTGTTCTGCACTGGGATTGGCTCGTTTGGTGTACGAGGAGATGGAGAGAGAGCAAGCTAAAACAAACAGCATTTTAAAATGTAATAGGTTACATCGCAATATTGGAAATATTTATTTTTAAAACCATGAAGGCGAGCTGATGGATATCACATAAGCAACGTGCAAACTTTGCGCAAGAGTTATGTAAGAACAGTAAGAACGTCTTAATCTCAGTCAGTTCACTGTGCAGAAAGTGAAAGTAAAAACAATGACGGAGCTTTCGAATCTACTTCAACATATGCTGATAACTAGAGGTCGACCGATAGTGGATTTTGCTGATACCGATAGCTAGGTTGGCCCACACTGGCCGATACCGATTAATTAACCGATAGTTTTAAAATTGATACTGAACAAAAACTAAAATAGTGCTTTATTAACAAAAACAGTACTGAACCAAAAAATAATAATAATAGTAATAGTAAATGTTGAAATTAACACACTCTAACAAGGAACAATACTTACACAGCTTTCATTAATCTTAATGCTACAAATGGACTCTTATTTTAAAGTGTTACCATTTCATTTCAACTGTCATGCTTAAAGACGCACATCTTTAAAATTTATACACAAAGGCTATAGCATTAAAATTATATACATATGGATATTGTATGTATACTCTCACACAGTTAAATGCTTCCATTCTTGAACACTTGATGATTATCTAGGAGAATAAGAGAACTCTAGGAGAACTCGCCGGTATCACACACACTCCGGACGCGTCGCGTTCAACTCAAGCATCGGACTAAATATGTTTTGATTTCAACCCCTAGAGGCCGCTCTCGCACTGTGTAATGACAGCAGACCCTTCTCAGCCGGTCCAGCAATGGACGCAACCCGGAAAACTATCGGCATGGATTTTTGTCGATAACCGATAGTTCCAGCAATCAACTATCGGTGCCGATTAATTGGCAAAACCGATACATCGGTCGACCTCTACTGATAACGGTATATAGCTAACTGTTTTAATTTATTCCCTTAAGATTTCTCTTGTGGCCCGTAGGCTAGTGGAAAAAAAAAAACTAATGAGAAAAACGTATTTTGTGTTAAACAGGTTGTTTTGAAACTCGGTGCTTGAAATAGGCTAAAGCGTTTTATTTCATTGATTTTTATTGATGACTGCAGTGTTAATATTTTAATTATAGGCCTATAATTCATTGTATAATAGACCTGTTTTAAAATACCTTTTTTTTTTTACATTTTAATTGAGGAGTAAATAGCCTAATCTTTTGTTATCCTTGCAGCGCCTCAGTTATGCGGTATTGCGGGGCAAATTAATTGTAATTTTAATTTAATAATAAAAGTAACTTCGTAATAACAATAGGCCTAATAAAATAAGAACGAAACAGAGTGCCAAATCCTCTTAATATTGCCAATAATTTATGTTTTTGACAATATCTCTGGCTCTTGTTGATACAAGATCATCGTCTTTCGACGCACCCCTGCAAGGGGAGGTTATCGCCGGGCAGACAGCACGGTGCCTGTTATGTCGTTTGGGCTGCCTTGTTGAGCGCTGTGGCACTGAGAACATTCTATTTCACACACTTTAAGCTCTTTTATTTTCCAAATGTAATAGGATTAGTCCAACGAATGCGTACCGAACCGAAAGCCTTGTACTGAACGGCTCAATACGTATACGTGTATCGTTACACCCCTAATATATGTGTGTAATGTAGTAACAGGTAAGGATGTAAAGTACTTGAGTAAATATACTTTACTTGTACCTGAATACTACAAAACCTTAATAATCTTACTAAAAAAAAAATACAAACGACTTCTTACAATTTCATCACATTTAAAATACACAGATTTTTTTTCTAAATGGGGAAATCTTATTACTTTTATTATTAATATGTATTATTATAATTATTATTAGTAGTATATAAAATTATAAAAATTAAATCAAGGTAGAAATATCATACTGTAAATATCATACTATAACACTCTAGAACTGTAAAGTATATAAAGTTTATCATTTCGATGCAGTCTTTGCAATTTGATAATCACACTAAATCGTATAGGCTTGTTAGAATTAATAAACAATTTTTTTTTAAAAACAGTTACCGACCAACTGGCAAGTAACACTGTTTCATATGCTCGCCATCACAGGTTTTACTCGCATTTGAAGACAAAAATTAAAATATTAAATTTTTTCTCTGAATTTTATCACCGTTAAAGTAAATAATTCACAGCTAATTTTTCATTTAGCAATTTATAAACATTAATAAAATAGTTAAATTTGTACATTTTTAATAGTAATTTTTCATAATAATTATACAGATTACTTACTTTAATGCTGGTGGATTGAAGCTTCTGGAAGAAATATCTCTGGAATGACAGTGGTACCTTCAAAATGGCTATAACAGCACCACACAGACATCCAGTGTGCTTCAAACAGAAAAACAAAAGATGCATTTAGAGTCAAAAATGTGCCCATAAAAAGTGAATCCATATGGATTACAGACAGGAACAGTCGGCCAATGAAAACCTTAAAACATTACCAGGTAAGAGACAGGAGGGTGCTTCCTGCTAGGTTTTCCACTTCCTCCAGGACGTGATTGAACACAGCCAGCATTCTGAGTTCATACTCGCTCTCTGCCAGCACTGATCCGTGTGTGCCAAACTCCTGGAAACTGAACCACAGATGGATGTCTTTACAGTAAGTGCAAATGAAATATTCAAACTAAAATCTAGTCTTTATGTTGTGCCTAATAATCTTCCAAACCTCTTGTTGTGATCCCACATTGAATATATGAAGCACTGCTATTAAGTTAAGAGTGGTAAATGTTAAAGAGTATTCTTACCTGGCCGTTTGCGGATCAATTATTAAAGCCTCAATAACATAAGATACAAGCAAGCAGCTTTGCTGTTGTCTAAGAAAGGTTTTAAGGAACGTACAGATGCTTGGCAAAATATCTTCGGATGAGGCCTTCATTCATTGTGGCCTTGCAAATGCCATATTTAGTTAGAAACAATGGCTAAAAAGTAAAGTGTGTTACTTTTGGAACAGTATGAACAAAATCACTAATGTAAACAAATATGTGACACTGACCATGCAAACTCATTTTGTAGAAGTTTTTATAATTTAAAAAAAATAATAATTTTATTTAATTTAGGGTTAATATATATAATTTATCATTTTAATATAATTAATATAAATTATAATTGTAATATAATTAAATATACACAAAAAAAATGTCATGTTTTTGAAAGAGCTCTGCATTTATATGATTAAGAATTACAGTAATATTGTGAACCGTTTTCTATTTTCATTTATTTTAAAATGTAATATTTTCCTGTGATGGTAAAGCTGAATTTTCAGCATCATTACTCCAGTCTTCAGTGTCGCATGATCCTTCAGAAATAATGACAATATACTGATTCGCTGCTCAAGAAACATTCTCCAGTACTATCAATATTGAAAACTTTTTTTGTGGAAACGGTGATAAAACGTTTCGGGTAAGTATGATTTATTTTTATTTTTTTTACAAAAAGAGTTAATACATTTACATTTAAAAGTGACATTTATAAAGACTTTTATAATATTAGAAAATATTTCTATTTTAAACAAATTCTGCTCAATTAAGATTTCTACTCACCAAAGAATCCAGAAAAAAAATTGCAGTTCAAAAAATTATTACAGCTCTTTAACCACTAGTGTATAATAAATATAAAAAAACAATTATGAAAAAGTTTTTTAAATTTAACACAAATGAATGTATAATATTAGTATAAATTTATAATAAATTAAAATAGAACCATTTCACAAGTGAAACTGCCAGTTAAATTACATAATTAGCAAGAAGACCTCTAAATAAATAAATAACTGTTTTTGCACACAGATTGTCCTCCAAGGCAAAAAAAGGATACAGTTCAACATTACGGAGGGTGGCGTAGTCGGCATCAAACGAAGACTGATACAGGTCGGCATAGCGAGCTGCCAGACTTCGAAATTCATCCATGGCTAATTTCATCTACATCCAAAAAAAAACACACATACAATAAACATGCCATCCTCATAGAAGAACTCTTAGAAATAATTTTAGACAACATGAGGCAATAGTGTTGCTTTCGTCAACGAAAATTATGACTAAATATCGTCGTCAACGAACCTTTATCACGTGACGAAAACGAGACGAGACGCAACGAAAAAGGGTGCCGCGACTAAAAAAAGGTTGGGAAACACTGATTTAGAAGAAGAAAACCAAACAAAGTTAAGTCTAAGTTAAGAGAAAGGGACCAATGGCCGTTCGTCTTTATTTAAATTGATGTGTGTGTACTTCTAACATGTTTGGTTGGTAAAATAAATGTTGTAAATTCAAATCAGAGCGTCTTCCGTCTCTGGAATGGATGTATTCTTGAGTCTATAAGGTAACAATAATATAATAAGATAACCTTGTTTGAAATGGGTTTGGCTAAAAGAACATTTTGGTTTCGTCTATACTACTAGGTACTCATACAATATTGACTGGGTTAAATAGAATTGCATTTCTAAAAAGAGACAAAAATAAAATTTTCATTGACAAATTAGACTAAATGTCATCGGTTTTCGTCGACTAAAACTAGACTAAAATAGTCATGGATAATTCTGACTAAAATAAGACTAAAATGCTCAGACTTTTAGTTGACTAAAACTTGACTAGACTAAAAAGAGTATGAATGTGACTAAAACTAATAAAAACTAAAATGACAGCTTCACACAAAGACTAGACTAAAACTAAAATTAAAACAGGCCGCCAAAAACAACACTATGAGGCAACTGCAATAACACAAACGGTATGCAGTATGTTTTGAGCACCTGTGTTGAAATGTGTCCGCAGCGCTGCAGCTCGCTGCCTGAGGACAGAGCGATGGTGGTGGCGATGGCAGGAGGGGGGCTGGTCTTCAGACTGTTGCAGGTGCAGATGAGCTGGGACAGGGCCCGAAGAGTGTCTATCCGCAGCTTCACAAACTCACACTGGAACGTCAAAGGACTCAGCAGCGTACTGGCAGCCTGAAGACGAAACAGGATTACAGTCAGTCACAAAAAACTCTTCTGTGCTGCTTCAATATGAATATAAATCAACAGAGGATAATAGACAGCATACAAAAAAAGCAAAAAGATGACTGGCGAATCCTGACCGTGAGAGACGCAATTCCCTTCTGGTAGGATTTGAGTGCTTCAGAGATGGCGCTCATGGCTGCGCTGTAGTCTCCATCTGAAAGGCCGCTGAGGCACTGCTCCGCCTGAGAGAACTCCATCAGACTGTTCAGCCAGAAGTAGAAGTGCTCTGAGGCCACGCGGGTACGAAGACTCTGGTACAACTCCCGAGAAAAATCATGGCAGCCCTGTGGACAAATTATAGATTGGAGAGCATTGGAAAGAGGTCATTTTACACTGTATTCAGCTACTAGCACAAAAGTGTCTGGGGGAGTCTCATGAAAACTATCAAGAACTATCCAGGTCACATTTTGCACTAAAATGAAATCAAATGAAATCAAATGAAAAAATTAAATGAAATAAAAATGAAATCAATACAAATGAAAATGTCAAATGAAATGAAATAAATAAAAAAAAAATTAAATGGAAAAAATTAAATGAAATTATATTACATTAAAGTTAAATTAAATTTAAAAATAAGATAAAACAAAAAATGAAATAAATTAAAATGAAATGAAATAAAACAAAGTAAAAAAAGAAATAAAATGAAATTCAATGAATTCAAATAAATCAAATTAAATGAAAAATTTATGAAATTACATTAAACGAAATGAAAAAAAAAAAAAATATATATATATATATATATATATATATAT